TGCATCTAAACATAAAAATAATGTTCAGCTCCATTAGACATTATAAAATACTCTTTAAATTTCGTTCATTTTAACAAAAAGTTAAAATTCGGACAGAACTTATGGGGTGACCTGATACAATAAATTTTCTTTAAGCCCAATAGCTTAAAAAACGAAGGATTTGCGGACATACGTTTATATGGACTTTTGTCCTTGTCTTGGGAACCTGCCCCTAATATTTGTAAAAGTATTTTCATACATTCTCTCTTTTATACATACATATATATATATATATATATATATATATATATATATATTATATAGTAGGAATTGCTTTTTATAACGATATATTTTACTGCTTAAATCATTTCCATTTGTTATTTCCTTGTCCCCAAGCAGTCTTTGGTCAGTCGTCGTAGTGAGCAGCCGATAACCACCGACGCATGCGCAATCAGATCGTCCCTAATCAACGCAAAGCTCGTCCTGTATTCATGAGCTTCAACTGGCACTTCATTTGTGCCCATTGATTTCGCTTTTGCTATGGCTTGATTACCCCATTTTTGGCACCGTTCCGCTTGCAATTGCACGTGTAAACAATGCATTTACATGCAATCGCTTCGACAGCAAGCAAATGGTGGCAAGTGTGAGCTCCGGCTCGTCAGTGTGTCACTCACCCTCACCACCGTTATGTCTCATGAGAACTTTTAATACTACATCCCTAAATATAATATATAAATATATATTTGTGGGTGTATGTGTGCGTGTGTGTGTGTGTGTGTGTGTGTGTGTGTGTGTGTGTGTGTGTGCGTGTTTGTGAAAGAAAGAGAGAGAGAGAGCGAGAGAGAGAGAGAGAGAGAGAGAAATAGGGATGGCTGGAAATCAGAATTTAAGATTTATTAATATACAGTCTATTTATAAATGAATGTACATTGTCAGCGTTGACACTGGCTGCAACAGCCTTTTCATTTGATTAAATCTTATATTATTTATAGAATACGTATTTCCACAAGTTCTCACTCAGTTGTTTTGTCAGTTATCCTCAATATATATATATATATATATATATATATATATATATATATATATATATACATGTTGTGGTACGATCCACCTAATTTACATAGTGGGTACCGACCATATAAATATGGGTTGGTACCGGGAAGACGAGGGAAGTAACAAGAGATCCAATCCAGAAACTCTGCCCGACTGCGATTATGTCAACCCATTCTGCAGGAACAGTCTTCCTAAGAATATACCAAAACTAACTGTACATATTGTGTACCTTTTCCTTGTTTCAATACATTTTGTTTACGTACATTTTGTGTTGTATTATTATTATTCCATGCTTATCCAAGCTTCAACAATATATGGTAAAGGTAACAAAATGTATATAATCCAAGTGGACCGTAGTAATATAAAATATTAAAACTGATCCACAAAAAGAGCTCAATGTATTTATTAATACAGAGCAATATAATTAATAAACAATAAAATCTAAAATTACCTCATAAGGGGAAAACTAATACAGAAATTATCAATGTTTCAGTCAGACGAAAGGCACGAGACAGAGGTCAAGGGAGGATGGAAGTTATTTGTCTAAAGGGAAGAAGTTTTATAAAATGAAACCCATATCTCGTACCTTTCGTTTGACTGAAACATTGAAATGGATAATTTCTGTATTTATTTTTGTTCGACAGGTTGATTATTTTATTTATTTATTTATTTTGTTGTTTTTTTGTTTTTTTTTAGATTTCACAGTTAAATTCTATCCCCCCACCACCTAACTCTATAGACACGAAGTCAGTCCACACCGGGGTTGATAGGACAGACGATCGATATCTTCGTCTGCCAAAATAGGTCATTATTTGGGCAGAAATAACTCTTTTATACAAGTTTTCTTTATGTGCTGACCATGTTTGGAAAATAAAACGTTCCTTTAACTCTAGATGCATGCATAAAGCAATCCACACATTCAGTTAAAAATAAAAATAAAATCGTCCTTGATGATGGCTAAAAGTACAAACGAAGTTGTTCGGACATACAGAACATTCGTACAATTTCTTCATAATTTACGCCCAGTAAAATAAATTATAAGAATACAAGAAAAATTAAATAAAAACCTTAAACGCAGTACCTTGTTATTCATTATTAATTAAACTTGTGTGTATATATATATATATATATATATATATATATATATATATATATATATATATATATATATATATATATATATATATAGATAGATAGATAGATAGATAGAGGCAGCATAAGTGCTCTTTCAATAATATAAATAAAAGAAATCAGACTTCCCTATCTAAATATTTTTGGCATCTGAAGGAAATAAATAGGACACCAAAAGTAAAATGGAAAATTATTAACAAGGCTAGAACATGTAAAACTTGGGATGACCCATGTCCTTTGTGCCTCCATGAGAAATTGCACATTATTAAGCTTCTAAATAATAAGATTCTATTAAACAATAGACATGAGTCAACGGTTTTTTGTCGACATCATCAAATTCATGGTTTGAATAATTAGCTAAAAACAAGCATACAATATAATAACTTGATTAATCCATAGCCCAAATAAATAGTTTAAATACCCTACAAAAAAGATAACCCTTTATGAAGTCGTCAAAAAACAAATGTTACGGCAGTTTTTTTTTTTTTTTTTATGCACAAATCTCTTTCATAAAGAAATAAAATAAAAAAATAAATAAATTCTCCATAGACACGTAAACAAGACTAGGCTAAAACATCTTCCGTTTCTAATTTAGACACCCCCACCTTACCCTGACTTGACATCTATGAAAGTAACTCTATACTGATACTTATTATTAACACCCAACACACGCCTACCCAATTTAAACAATTCGCCCTAGCTGTTACCATGGAAATTTTGATTTCAATTATTAAAACACGTAAATTTCAGAAATACGTTATTCCAAAAAAAAATTTCGCTTGAAGATGGAACAGAGCTTATTTTAACTCAGTTTAATTCAAATAATTATATTGAAGTTTTCGGCTCTTGTTTTTGAAACATGAGACCTCTTATGTCGCGAAGTTGGAATCATATTTTATATAAATAATTATATTTATGCTCTACTTTTGTATCGAGCACTATTTTTTTTTTTAATAATAACTAAAATACTAAGAATTTTGGATTATTTACCTAACAGTTATTTCCTATTTTTATATATTTTCACACACACACACACACACACACATATATATATATATATATATATATATATATGTGTGTGTGTGTGTGTGTGTGTGTGTGTGAAATATATGTTTTTTTATAGGTTGTACAACAACTACTATTTCACGCAGGATCACATACCATTATCTGAACAGTATGTAATTAAACAACTCATTAACATGTACTATAAGAACAATAATAATAATAGACAATTCCAATCAGGCAAAGCTATAATATTCCATAAATACAATTGCAAATGAAGTCTAAAGATATTGACTTTAACAGAAGTAACCATTAATAGAAATAACTATAATCTAAAAGCCTTATTTTTGCAGGCACATTAAAATGAATTAAACGTTATTACTAGTTGGCAGTACACGTTACCGTGCAAGTCGCTGTTGTTTCTCAATAACTTAGTTACCTCCCTTGACGTTACTGCACGTGTATGATTACATCATAAAATTTTAAAAAATTGTACAGTACATAAGTTTAGCGTTTTTCACTACACGAAAAAAATTTTTTTTCAGATGCATTCAGTGATTTTGTCTTAGCAAAAACAAGACCCTGAAGATGACATTGTACTAATGTCGAAAGTACTCGGGGACAAAATAGATATGCATCAACATGTGAATTTTTTTTTCATCCTTTAATAAAGATACTAAGAAATTCGTCCATAGAGAGGACCCTATTAAGAATAAGTAGACAAAACTTGTCTAAATTATTTAATGCGATATGTCTTAATGAAAATATTCTGCCAAAATATACCAATATATATATATATATATATATATATATATATATATATATAGCTATGGGTAAAATAGCAGGACAGACTGGGTTCTATAGCCTTGGATGGAGAAGGACAACTCTGAATTCAAAACCTGCGGAGGGTCGTTTGGGAACCTTGTGGCATGCATTCGGTGCACCAGGTTTCTGTATTCGTCCCTCCAAAAAGTGTGACTGGTCCTGTACAAGGCCTTCACCACTATAAACAAATCTCATGTGCCGGTGTCGGGATGTTGGTTTCCTGGGGACTTATCGGCCTGACCCTCATACGTCGAACGCGACGGGAGAGTCGATTATATATATATATATATATATTTACAAACAGTTATTTCTGAAGAAAGATTGAGGCCAATCTGAAATATCAAATATATATACAAATAAATAAGTACTTTCATAAAAGTACATTATTATTTTTTTAATTTGCAACTTTTTCTATATATACATATTAAGAAAGTATACGTGGCTTCTCATTATGCTATATATATATATATATATATATATATATATATATATATATAGAGAGAGAGAGAGAGAGAGAGAGAGTGTGTGTGTGTGTGTGTGTGTGTTAGACAGTGTGGACATAAGAATCAACGATGCATGGTGACATCAATTTAATAAATTAAATGCTTCGATGTTTCAATGTAATAATATTTCATACTTCAATATAATAAATGTCCATGTAGTGTAACAGTTATTAACGCGGAAATTGGAATCAATTAGACAAGTTCAAGTTCCCTCTTAGTCTTTTGCTGTCACTTTCATACAAATTCTGAGAGTTAAATAGCAGGATATACTGGGATCTCTAGCATTGGATAGCAACCAGTCTAAGGGAAGGACCACTCATAATTCAAAACTGGGAAAAAAGGCAATAGGAAACCTCTCTATTATTTTTCCAAAGAAGTCTTAGAATTTCACAGAGAAGAAAGATAAGGAATCTCTAGAATGCCATGGTTGCCAACTCCCCAAGTGATACGGTAGAAAGTGTCAATGCACTACGCCGTAGCTAAAGAGATATGAATATTGTCTCGTGTATGCGTTTATTATACTGTCTCGAGTATGCGTTTATTATACTGTCTCGAGTATGCGTTTATTATACTGTCTCGAGTATGCGTTTAATGCAGAAATTTCTAAAATTGAAATCGATATGAAATATGGGAATTAACAGCTGCATTCGAAGGGAAAACAAGAAAACAGATTTTGAAAACATATTTTTCTTGAAGAGAAAAAAATAGTTGACTATATTAAATTAAATCAAAATTCTGTTTGATGGAAAGAAGCGAATATTATAACAAAAATTGTCGTTTTCCTTTTAGTCTTAAATAAAAATCCGGGATTTAATTTTTTTTTTCTATACATTTTATGCCTTGTTCATTTTCTTTTTTATTTTGCATGATTCTATTGTAACAGGAAAAAATATTGTTTCATTTGAGATTGCTTTAGCTTCAAGCATGCTATTCAGACTAAGAAGGGCACTTAAATCACTGTGAGGACATTTTTAGATGTTAGCATAATTGATGCGTATGTGCAAGTACGCATGCGCGCACGTAAGTAGAATCTGCTGTTATGTTTAATGTCGAAAAAGTAGCTTTGATTTATTGATCAGCTAAGGATAAATAAGATAACCCGCGGCCATATTGTCTCTTTATTGTGAGGAGAATGTCGCTTGGTTTTTTGATTATATCGGCCCTCTTTATAACCCGAAGAACAGGCTCTCTTTCAAAACTATTGATAAAAACAGCCCTTAGTATCGCTAGCAATTAGATTACTATCACAATTTCTTATACGTCTTTCCTTTCTGGTTTTTCGAAAGAGAAAAATTCGAAAGATAATGAATTTTCAAGCATAGTTCTTTCCTTCCAGCAAGTATCTTTCCTTTCGTTTTTTGTTTTGTTTTCGCTTTCATTGCAAAATTTACGATAAATATTTGATGTTTTGTAGTCTTTTAAAAACCTTCAACAACAAAATCGTTTACAATATAAGCAAAACCATCACTGACGTCCATATTCAGATTAAAGTGTGTACATGCATGCATTTGCCCAGGTAATAGCGCCTAACCCGCTGCCCGAATTCGAAAACAGTCAGTGACGGCATAAAAAAAAATGATGTTGCGTCTTATTTCCATCGGATTAATATCATATTTTTTTGTAATTTATTTGCAAAAATTATGTGTTTATTTACTCTAGTCTTGAATATGACGATAAACTACATCCGGTAGCAAGCCCTCTAGTCGGGAGATTGTTATGCCATCTCTTAACTTAACCGCTCTTGTTCCCAGGTTCACCCTGACCCACTGTGGTCGCGCCAATTAGGGTCCCAAGTATGGTTAAATAGCGACCCACTCAAACAAAAGCAAAACACTATGAAAGTATTTTTTAAAGTAAAAATAACAGCACATTTATATATATATATATATATATATATATATATATATATATATATATAATGTAAAATACCAACATATTTTATATAAAAAAGCAGCATGGCCCGGCGTTGCCCGTGCTTGATTCAAAAATCGTACGACTCATACAGCAATCCTTTGTCACTTGACTTAAAATATTTTTGCCCTTCCTTGCCTTTAAAGGAGTGCCTTTGCCGTGCTGATGTTGCTACATGCCTTACTTCTTTCCTATCTCACACTGCAATTTTTTCTAAAATCGATACTAAACATTAAATCTGTTACGAAAATGAACTAAACAAAATGAACACAAAACGATCAGCTTTAAAAACGGACTCGTAACTGGAAAAACTGAATGAAAAAAATGTTAACAACAAATACTTTTTTCACACCCAACCCAGTTCTGCGGAATCAGAATCAACGTTGAGTTTAAGCAAGCGAATGAGCCAATTGGAGTAAAGTGCCATGCAGATTTAAATTTTTCCCACTTGTGACGAATGCAGCTATCGATTCTTTTTTTTTTTTTTTTTTTGCATGTTAGCATGCTAGTTAACATTCGTGTCAGTCAGCTTTTGGCTCTCACGCTGGCCAATAGAATCTTCCTGCTTATTCGTGGCAGCCAGCTATAGGCTCTCACTCTGGCCAGTACAAAATGGCCGTAAACTACATGAAAACTGCCGTAGAAGCATGAAAAAATCGATTATTTCAACTATCGATGTGAGTTGGGAAATGCAAAGTCGGTCTTGGTCTTTTCCGCTAACTTGGAGCATGTGCATGTAAATTTTGGTGCAAATCCTTCGAAAATTGCGGCCGTGCATTTGTTACACACGCGCGCACACACACATCCTGCCTTTTATAGATAGAGATAATTATCAAAAGTCTATGAAAATATAAACATTCATTTTTATAATAATATTACCAACAATACGCACATAGTAACAAATTTTAACGACATCACCGAGTTACTTTTAAATTACAACCAAACAGCCAACATGAAAGAATTTTCATGACATTAATCGTTGAAATTGATCTGTTATTTTTTTTGAGATATGTAAGAAAAACCAATGTTTAAATACTTTTGCTACCAACTGTATATATATATATATATATATATATATATATATATATATATATATATATATATATATGTCTTATTCGTGAAGGTTAGATCTGGTGGAAATAAGAAATTCGTCCGCGCACTTTCAGTGGAAGTAGTGATAGAGAAGTAAGAGACTTACCCCATACCGCCTGTGAGAGAGAAGTTGGGGGGTGCAAAATAAACCTTCAACAAGTATTCGGAGTCGCTTTTGAACTCTATCGAGACTGGACAGTGAGGACCAGACAGCTTCCGCCTAAATATGGAAGCAGTACTCCATTTTCAGTCTGATCTGGCTCTTATTATGACAGAAGATAGCATGAGGAGTCAGGTACTTACTGAAGCGGTACAGGGAGCCGATCATTTTATCTTCATCTTTAGCGGTGATTCGAGCTTTACTTGAGGTCGGGTGTGATTTTTAGGGCCAATAATCTCCTTGAGAGGACAACCGTTTATCGTAACTGGATGTAGTTCGGGGTCTGATCCGCGGTGACTGACTGTAAGTATCAGCAGAATTATCCATTAATTTTTAAATTAGTTGGATATTTGTCAGACATTGTTATCAGTAATAATAATAAACTTTAGCTGCTTTTTAATCACAACTTTACAGCATTGAGGAACTAACGTTGATCCAAAATGAAGATGGATGTCCTGAGTGAAATTTCTATTTAAAAAAAACCCGCAAAAATTAAAGCAAATGAATTTTCCGAGTAAAAATTATTAGAAATAATAATAAAAATAATGTTTGGTCTTCGAGTATTCACAGTCGTCATATATATTTCCCGTCATTACTTTTATGCACATTATCCCTTCAGGGCGTGAGTGATCATAGCTCTCCACAATTTCCTGTCTTTTGTAGCTCTTATTAGTTTTTGTCCATTTGCTGTCACCCCTAATCCATATTCTGCTAACCATTTACACAAACTCATTAAGTAGCTTCTCTCTATCCTGCCTTCAATATTTCCTTGGAAAGATATTCACCTTGTGCAAAACCCAAGAGCCACTCAAGGTAGAGGGTTACAGAGTAAAATGCACAGTTTATAGGGATATGTGGGGAAAATATAACTTTATACTTGAACAGGTTAAGATTGTAGTAATCGGGTGGGGGGGCATCCTCTTGGGAGCCAGTTCCACAAAGCAGCGGCTTGTGAGAAGCTTCTGCTCGAGTGGAACTTACGTCTCATTAATGGAATACGGTAGGAATGAGGGTTATTCACTACAGTGGATGTGGCATGGCGCGTCCTAGTCGTGAAGGCGGCTAGAACTGGTGGAACTAAGGAATGTAGTTCGTCTGAACACTTTCCAAGGAAATAGCGAGGGCCGTGCAAGGTTCCATCTGTGGGGAAAGGGTTGCAGAGTGGAGAATTATCCATCACCCACAAGGACGCGGAGACACGTTTGAACTCTATCAAGACTGAAAAGTGAAAACTGGGCAGCTTCTGCCCATATATAATAGCAGTACGCCATTCTCAGTCTGATCTGGCTCTTGTAAACGTAGAGGATAGCAGGGAACCGACCATTCTCCCACCATCTTTAGCGATTATACGAGTTCCACTTGAAGTCTAGGTTGAGATCAAATAACATCAGGCGCTCAAAAAACGGAGCCTCCCTGAGATTACACCTGTTCATCGCTAAAATCTATCTATCTATCTATCTATCTATCTATCTCAGTCTCTTCATTATCTATCTATCTATCTATCTATCTATCTATCTATCTATCTATATATATATATATATATATATATATATATATATATATCAGTCTCTTCATTATCTATCTATCTATCTATCTATCTATCTATCTATCTATCCATTTCAGTCTCTTCATTATCTATCTATCTATATATATATCTTTCTATCGCAGTCTCTTCATTATCTATCTATCTATCTATTTCAGTCTTTCATTATCTATCTAGCTATATATATATATATATATATATATATCTTTCTATCGTCTCTTCATTATCTATCTATCTATCTATTCATCTATTCATTCATCTATCTATCTTCTCTTCATTATTCATCTATCTATCGATCGATCGATCGATCTATCTATCATATCTATCTATCTATCTCAGTCTCTTCATTATCTATCTATCTATCTATCTATCTATCTATCAATCTCAGTCTCTTCATTATCTATCTATCTATCGATCGATCGATCTATCTATCTATCTATCTATCTATCTATCTATCTCAGTCTCTTCATTATCTATCTATCTATCTATCTATCTATCTATCTCAGTCTCTTCATTATCTATCTATCTATCTATCTATCTATCTATCTATCTCAGTCTCTTCATTATCTATCTATCTATTATCCTTACCTTCATAATCTTCGCATTCTACCTCCCCGGCCTGTTCATCTACACTTCATTTGTGCAAAGGTACAAGGAACCGTCCATTTTTCCAGCATCCTTAGCGATACATCGAGTATACGAGTTCCACTTGAAGTCTGCGTTGAATTGAAACCTCACCAGGTGCTCTAATCAAGGTGCCTCCCTGAGAGTACACCTGTTCATCGCGATAGGTTAAAATTCAGGGTCCGCTCGGCGACGATGGAACATCACTAATTCTGTTCTCTCTCTTTCTGTACGACCAAATTTCTTTTGTCTCAAATCTCTTCTTCGTCTCTGAGGATATTGTCCAGCACACATTGGATGACTGCTATTACATCCCAGTTCAACGCTCTTTGTTTCTAAAAATTAAAAGACAAGAACAAGTTCAAAGTTCAGTGTGCTGACGGTGGATCGCCACGGCAAAACACGAGGAATCAAAGAGTGCCAAAATAACATATAATTCAAACTTCGGTTTATTGTGTCACAGAACCCTTAACTTGGGCCCCCAAATAATGAGATTAATGGTTTAACATCATCCTGCTAAAAAAATAAAAATAATAAAAATAAAAATTGATTGTTTAAATTTTATGTTAGCATTGCAACTGCTATGGTTCATTTTTGGAATAGTCTTTCAGGAGTGAATGTATTTTTTTATTTTATTTTCTTTCATTTTTTTTTTAAACTGAAGATTAAATATTTGTAGAACGAAACCAGCATTTGCCCAAGGCGGAATTTGTGATCTTTTCAAAGCGATCAAAATATTGATATAGAAATAGTAAAGAAATGCAAATAAGCTATTTTTTTTTCTTATTTTTTATTTATTTATTTTTTTTATTTTTTATTTTTTAGCAAAACTTTTCTTTTTTTAAATGTTCACTTTCCATCGAAATTCCTTCATTGCCGGAAGCGATATCTTTTTTTTTAAAATAACAAAATACATACACTTCAGATTCTGGCAAATATTATTCCAAATTTATTTTACTTGAGATGGATTTAATTTGAAAAAATCCAATCGGGAAATATCGGTGTAAATGTTGGCTTCATTTCTGTTTCGTATCTGTAAGTATTCTTACTTTACACGTGAATGCATTGAAAACTTCTCGGTCCAACCGAATAGCGATCACCAAGAAATAAACAATAACAAAAATTAATACTTGGAAAGATTGGCGGGGGGGGATTTCGAACTGATAACCTTTCAGTTCATCCTCTTATAAAATAATCAGGCGTATATATTGAAAGGCATTAACAATGGTAAATACCAATATACGAAGAGTGACGATTTGATGGCCGCGATTTGCTGGGGTAAAGGAGTCAGGCAAATATTTATATTCCATATTTCACTTTTTTCAGAAGCAGAGCCAAAGAAACATTCATTACTGAGCAGTAGAGGAAGTTGAACGTGTTCATGTTATACTATTAGCCGAAAAGGAGTAAAAGGAAATTGAAGCAACGGATTAACAGCAAGATAGTGTAAAGATTGGTAAAAGTCGAAGTGAAACTTCAGCATTAGTTAAAATGACTTATGCTAAACATGCTGCGAATGTTTGTGGGAGGCTGAGCGACATAGGATGCTCGACATAAAAAAATGTGGTCAATGGCCGCAATGGCAATGCATTTATACTTATCATAATAATTCGGTGAACATTCGACAGATCAACCACGCCTGACAGCTTCTTGCACACTCTGCTACGCTGTTTTCATGCTCTGCCATTGCGCCATTCAGCTTGTTTTTTTACATACATACATACATACATACATACATATATATATATATATATATATATATATATATATATATATATATATATATTCAACATGTTTTATTAAATAATATAGGCATATTATCAATGGCAATTCTGGAACTCTGAAAGTGGTGGTGGGGCGAGATTTTTCTGTGGAGGAGGGTGGGGGGCAAATTCAAGCAGCGTCTTTATTTTCATACTACACCACTATACAGTGTAACCCGGATATAAGAGAGTCGTCGGGACCGGAGAAGAAGTCTCTTATATCCGGGTTTCTCTTATATCCGGGTTTTGTCTATTTTGTTTCGGTAAGTATGGCTCTAATTTGGGACCAGAGAAAATCTCTCTTATATCCGGGTTTCTCTTATATCCGGGTCTCTTATATCCGGGTTACACTGTACACAACTTAGGAATGAGTTTTAGTATAAGTATGTTACTTCACTAAATTAATCGGAATAACTTTTCATTCATACTAGTGGAGTTCTAATCTATTCTTGCCCTCTTTTCCACTCTCAAGCTGTTGGACCACAAGAGAGGGGTTAACTTCAAAATAAAATCAAAGGGTTAATATTAACGCTAATACTAGCAGAACAGTTTAATTTGTCTGCTCTGATTTTTTTTTCCTCTACAAAACTTAGAAAATGGGGGGGGCAACAGAGGGGCCATCAAAGATTCGGGGGGAGGTCATTGGCCCCTTAGAATCGCCACTGCATATTATGTGTATTTACTTTTATAATAAGCTTTTTTTTAGTTCTCTGATTATCTTCTTGATGTTAAGTTGAAATTCATCAAGGAAGCGCCGTATTTTTTATTAACCCATGTACTTTCGATCTCATTCGAGATCTTCCTCAGAGGTAAATTGGGAAGATAAACATAATGTAACTGCAATCGCTGTAAGAGTGATTTTTGCAAACACGCGTGAACAGGAACTTTTCTTCCTCTGATGTGGCTCCAGATTTCACCGAACTTCGGACAGTCGTGCGTCTTTGTTATAGTGGAACACACCTATTCTATAGTTAATAGACTCTCCCACCTATAATAAGTAGGAGTAAACGAGTCAGTCAGTCAGACGGCCAGTCAGTCGGTGTCGGACGACAGTTAGTCGAATACTAAAGTATCAGCGTCCACAACTAGATTACTCTGCGTTATACCTATTATATCAAGTTCCTAACGTCGAACCTATTTTAGGACCGACTTAGTACAATTACAAGCCTCCACTGTGTAATCACTCCACACCAGTTTTAACCTTCACTGAATTCAATTGACGCTTATTCATCAACCGGCAGCGGTTTACATGTTACAGGGGTAACTGAAATCGGCTTCGGATAAAGGTTTTAAAGTCAAGGACGCAAAAGGGACATTACATGGTGAGGGGGTGGGTACAGCAGACCAAGCTAGGTACATCGCTGGCATATTACCAATGGAGAGGGAATCAAAATCGGTGTGCGGCGGGAGCATGACCTCCAATGGGGGGGTCACAGGAAGAAGAGCATTTTCTCACATTAAAATTAATTCGATAAACTACATCGGTAAGCAAGGCCTCTGATCAGAAGGTTTTGAGGAGCGTGGAACCACTCTTTAATTGCTGTTGTTCCCAGGTCCACCCTGGTCCGGCGTGGTAGCACCTGTTAGGGTCCCAGCTATAGGTGAATAATGACCCCCACCCAAAAAAAAAAAAACTAGAAAAATATATTTTTATGGTGACATTATGCAATTTTATTTTTAAAAAATTACCAACAATACATTTTTATAGTAAAAATGACCAACAATACATTTTTATAGTAAAAATGACCAGAAATGTGTGTATGTCTGCGTGTGTCTGTGTGTTTCTGTCTGTGTGTCTGCTATTTATACAGGTCCACATTCGTCGACGGATTTCGATGAAACTGTGCACATATGTTGCAATTTTACTAACATAGGTCAAGACAAACTTTTCAGTTTCCAGACCCCAAACGGGTTTAGCAGAAAAATCAATAAAAATGAAGGCAAATTTACACGCGAACAAATTTTTTACTGGATGATTTGATGTTCTTTGCACTTAATGCAAAACATCAGCTCATGTTTCAAGGTTTATGTAGCGTACTTAATAGTTTTCTTCCGATATTAGCTTCACTCAAAAAACTGCAAAAAACTCTGAAAAAGTCGAGTATTTCGTACTACTTAAAATAAAAAACTTGAATAATTTCATTTTTTTATCCGATTTTCTTCAAACATGTCACAAAAAAATTGCCATCATAGATGAAATAAGATAGTGTGGTTTCAGTCCTGCTCACTTCCCCGCGTATAACAAAAAAGCAGGAAAAACTGCTAAAAGATATTTTTCGACGATAGCTCCCAGGTTTATCATCTGATGCTTTCCCCATTTGCTATGTAAATTATACATGATACACAAATTGTCTTGCGTGAATGTTTCGTTTAGATTATTTCAGTTAAGTGAACGAAATCTGCGACGAACTATGTTCAAAATCGGCTTTATTTAGCCAATAGTTTCTTCATATGAGTCCATCCTAAATTGGCATTTGAGAAACCTTTGATGCAAAGATGGTTTGAGAATGATTATTGAAACGTTAAAAGGGAAAAATTCCCGAAGAACTTGTTATTAACCCCAGCTGAAACTATGCAAAGAATGGGGGGGGGTCATGCGTTTGCAGTTGTATCAAGCTCTGACGCTTGATCCTTGTTTGTGTTTAATTATTAGATTTGTGAACAATGCCAGACTATTTGAAACTTATTACGGCCATAGGAAATTTACTGAATATCTAAAATATTGGAACAATTTAACGCCGAGCAACGACCACACAAGAAAGTTTTATCGATGGAATTCCTTTATTAAGAACAATGAAACACTTGCGAAGGACATACGATAAAAAAAGATGAGAAGTGTTGTAGCTTAATATACCAACGAATGACGCATGCAAGACATTTCGAGACAGGGAGATGAGTGTATAATGGAGGGTGCGGTTATAAATTGGAACCATGTACACCTAGGCAACGCTGGGTACCTCGGCTAGTTTGAATTTTCATATTTAGTTTTCGGTATTAAATAACCTATATGGGTTGATGTAACAAAAACAAGCAACCAACCAATAGGAATCGGAGGTACAAAAATTTTGATCTAGAGTCAGCTTTCCCCAATATGAGTTTTTAAATCGCAATATCAAGGATGTAAAAATGAAGTCAACAGCCAGCGGCGTCAGTCTGTTTCCGGCCTGGCAATTGGATTTAGCATAAAACAGACTGTCGCCTCTAGGTAT